GGGGGGGGGGGGGGGGGGGAATGTGTAGGGCGGGGGGTAGCGGGGGGGGGGGGGGTGCATCGCTACGATAAGAGTGTTAGAGTTTGGGGCCGGTACATTCAAGTAAGAGCAGTGTGAGGAAAACAACTTCATTGTGAGCTATAAAGTGTCCTAAAACCTAGTATCTGGAAACTATAATCAGAATGCGCAGGGGGAAAGTAGTATTTGTGCAAATAAAGACAAAGACTTGATTTGGACACACTCCCCTCCACGCTGATTCTACCAGAGTTGTTGGCAGGTTGTCTTTTATTGTGCTTTCAGAGTCAGTACAAAGTACAGCTCATCCCCACTCCCACATGAACTGAACCTTCAGACTGTACACTACACTTCAGGGTGAAGCAGCTTTAAATCAAAACACCCAGGCATAAAACCGTACAAAAGAATAACGACTAACATGTATCAGATCCATCTAGCCTGTAAATATCGGTCAATGAGAGCACAAGCAGGTGACGCCAGGTTATTTATTTTGTCTTTTTTTGCAGCAGAACAAAGGCAATGGTTTGACAAGGGGGTCAAACTGCATATTCAGCATTGCACGGTGTGGCCATTCAAACCATACACGTGCAATTCCTCACAGAGCACAAATCTTTGTGTGCACATAATGGACTGAGAGGCCTTTAGAGGCAGAGCACTGGGAAAAACACACAGGTTGTGCTGCTTCAACTTGCTCAGTCAGTCAGTCGCTCACAGACTGAGCAGTGTTTACTAATCACAGCCAATGCCCTTCAAAAAAAAAAAAAAGCAACGCACCGTATCAGCAGGTCAAGCCTCTGAGAGCACGGCCCACAATGAAAACATTATCTCCACTAGTGCACAGATTCTCCCACCAGTGTCCACCAGCACACATGCTGTGTTTGTGATTACATTTATCAAGAAAGCCATGCAGTCACAACATGTCTGCCTTTGTTGAAAGTGTCAACACGATGCATCTGCCTTGATCGTCAACAGTGTGACAAGAGAACAAGAGTGTTTTGATTTTAAAGGCAATGTTTGGACCGTGAGGGGATGGCAGCGAGCCAGCGGGGGGGGGGGTCAGTTCAATGTCACACGAGCACATCCAAGGGAATTATTATCTCAGGGAAGTTCAGCGTTAAAATAAAAATCTGACCGAGTCAAGTTGAACATTAACTCGCTGTACAGTTTATCTTCTGTGGACTGAGCACTGACCAAACAACTTGACAAACCAGACCCTGCCTTCTTTGTCACAGTACGAAAAGGTGTATGGATGACTGCTAGCACAAAATATCCTAAAATGTTATTACATGTAACTTTACCTTTACCATAGCATCTTGTACCTGGCATTCATTGACACTACTTTTCATTCCCAGCTAATTTACCCTGAATTTGTTCCTTCTAAACATGTTTTAAATGACAGGACAACATGATGTTGTTACAAAAACCTTTTGGGTAACACTCACACCTTTCTACATGTATCTCATAAAGAGGTTTTAATATAGATAACTTCTTACCTGGTGTATTCTCCTTTGGCCTCCTTAAAAGAGAGAAATACTGCAGTTAGTAAAAAGCACTATGAGAAAATGCAAGACTTACAAAATGACCCAGTAAAAATCTGTGCAATATAAATACACCGTGCAATAAAAATGATTCTCTCTGTATATCTAATGTTTTTTTTAGTTAGTATATCTTCTTTACTGTTTTATTACTTATTTATAATACTTGTTTTGTTCTTGTTTTTACTATGTCTCTTGTTTGCACTATCCACTATGCTACTGTAAATGTCCCCACTGCGGGACTAATAAAGGATTATATTATTTTATTTTATCTTAAGTTAACTGTTGTGCTAATGTTAGCTAACGTTACCCTCAGGCACAATCTGCAACAAGGGGTTAACGTAACACGATAAGACCATCTAAATACGTTTTCATTTATCTCATAACTCAAGTTAACACCGCCTCGAAGCACAAGTACATTTCAGAGGCCGATAGTAATATAAAAGAGCAATAATATTCAACAATAGTCCCGACCAAAGCAGGAGACATTTTCAAATGTTGCGTCTTCATTCACAAAACATCTAGTCTAGGAAGCATGCGACAAAAACTCTTTCTTACCTGCAATGCGAATGCGGCTAACTTGAAAACATTTTCACTCTCCACTTCGATGGTCTCCTGTTGTAAAAAATAGGTAAAATCAACGTGGTCTTTTCAAAACAACACGCACACACAAAGTGCAGTCCGTGTCCGAAACACTTGACTTGGAGAGAGAAAATCTTCCCGTCCCGTACCTCTCGGTCCCACCACCGTTACCGACTGAACCAATGCCGCAGAGACACAATACAGTGTGTGTGCGTGAAACTGTCCGTGGAGTGTGTTTACTCCAGTTACTCCAGCAGCCGAGATAGTATTACACTTTCTATATGCGACAAAACACACAGTGGTTGCATACGAAGGGCTAGTTGAAGATTCCTGCCCCCCCTCCCTCGGTAAAGTGGTACAGTCCGAAAGCAGGTTCAACAGTCTCCGTCTCCCATGGTGACCAGTCTGCTCACACCCGCGGAAAAAAAAAAAACTACACTGCAACGGCTGATCACATGGTGCATTCAGGCGCCCTTGGACGGTTGGAAAAATCCTAAATTCCCCGAAAACAACTACCTGCCTACCTATCAAAGTATTTACAGGAAACACTTGGAATCAGTGGTCCTGCCAATACTTATCTAAATGACAACCTGAACCTGTAACTATTCGCTACGCTGTGACTATAGTGCAGGGTACTTTAAATGCAATGCCAAACAACTTCATTAAACAATAACATATTGCTTGTATGATAGTGAACCATATACTTTAAGTAAAACTGTAATATTTCCAACAGCATTTGAAAGCAGCATAACCGTTTGAGATCTAATGCAGTCAGAGTTTTTCAAAATGTAAATGTTGTGAGGTTAAAAAGACATGCATTTTCTCAATAAATAGCATGTTATGAATGAACCAAATACTGCATTACAAACGCTATGCATGCACAATAAAGATAAAGATAAAAGAGGCCAGATTAGGCTATGAAGCTGTGACGATAAAGGCTAAATGTTGTGTGTAATATAGACATATAGCATGAAAAACAATTTGCAAGATATTGATCATCTGACTCTCAACCCCCAGCAGAATGAAGTTTTATGAGTCAATGGTAAATCAAGAATGATGGCAGATCAATAGTTGGATTAAAAATATGTATATCCCATTAAAGTTTTTTAGAAAATAAATGTTTAAAAACACTTACATTAAACACTAACAATTTAGCGTTCAGGAAGAACAGCTCCACCGTCGTGTTGTCTTTCAAGAAGGTGATCTTCTCAATATAAAACCTGTGAAGAGTTGTTTTTATCGGGTCAGCAAGGTTCACTTGAGATATAATATTTTGCTGATACCTCTGCGTTATTCACAGACTTCATTGTGTCAAATATAGTTTAACAGTCACACAGCAAGACTATGTAAACTGTGTTCCATCACTGCCACCTGCTGGTCAGGACCAGCCTTTGAGGACATGAAGCTCTCGATAGTAACTTGCTTCATATTAGGTCCATATACTACTATTCACAACTCAGTCTAATACACAAAACATTGACATTTTCAATCCTCAGTGTAGGCTGGTGTTTCTAATAAAGCAGTATTCCTCATTTGGCAAGCTTTTGCAGTGAGAGCACTCACCTCACCAGGAACTTGAGTTCCAAAGGCCCCGAAGTCTTGGAGAAGTCATGATCAAGGACTTTACGATCCAGCTGGAGCCAGTTACTCTGGCCACTGGTCAGGGGTAGAAGAACAAATCATGTGCTGGAATACTGCTATCGTAATGTTCCTCTCTTCTCTTTTTTGTCCTCTCTTAAGGCGTCGGTTCTAAATCAACCAACCCTTTTGATTAAAAGAAGATGTAATAAAACCAAGCACACACACCACTTGGACATTGCACTTTTTTTTGTCTTGAAAATGCCAATAATATTAGGAAATACACTTACGTGTCATCTATGAAGCACAACCCAAAGTATTCTTTCTCCTTCAGGTTAAAATGTGAGGCCACCAGATCTAACAGCTCGCGGGACAACAGCTTGGGCTGGAAAGTAGAGATTAAAACACAGGAGTTCAGTTTAGATCTCAATGCTAAAAGCTACACAGGTGACAAGAAACAAAAGCAATGCAGGAGCCAGATTCTTTACAATAATACAACAACACACATCATCAAATCCAACACAATTGCAGTACATCAACATAATCTTGCAGGGTGCCTGAGGAGGCCAGCAGTGTGAGTGTCCTCTACCTGAACCAGCAGCTCCAGCTTCCTGCCATCGAGGAGGTGAGCCTGACACAGACGGCCCTCGGTCATCTAGAGGAGGACGGACAACGTTAAGACGATTCCTGCAAAGCAACACACTCGCTGGCAGAGCACACTGTCTCCACCTCTACCTCTCCACTCAAAACCGTGCATTCTTCCTCTATTGTAGCCCAGAGAATAAAATGACTTTGTGCTGCTGAATGAATAAGAGGATCCGTTAAGTGTCCATATGGGACGCACGCTTCCAAACATCAAAGTCATTGCCGACATCATCATCCTTATTTGTAAGAAAGAAAGAAAAAATAGTGCACCGGTGAAGTTCGACTCATAAATCAGCTCTATAGGAGCACCGTGAGTCATAAACAAAGACTCTGGAGTTAAGGCTCCACACATGCTATTGTCTTTCTCGCCCACATATCCTTCCTCTGCAATGAAAATCCCTGAAATGTCAACATCCAACGTGTTCCTCTGCCGGTAAGAAACAAAACCGAAAGACAATGAAGTCCTGGTTTAATTGAATTCCCGCTGCATTGTTTAAGATGAATGGCTTCAGGATTCATCCCGCTGCAGTCAGCAGAACTGCCTTTCACTGCAGGACGAGGTAGAAATATTGTTGTGGTGATGAATATTAGTATATTAGAATATTAGAATATTAATCATATTTCAGTGTGTGAAGTTGTTGCCAACAATCCAGGCTGATATTTTACAATATTCTAACTCCTTTATACAAATTCAGATGTCGTGGTGTTTATATAATCTGTTTCAGTGATGTGGGTGAAACGTAATCTCAATACTAAATGTCATAAATCATTTAGGAAATCATATGTGATGTAGCATTGTGAATTTATTTTTCTCTGTGTTCATAAAAGTTTGTGCCTTAGGCATTTGTCACCATAAGAGCAGGCTAAACCCATTTCACATTTGCATGAGTTGTTCACTCAATCCTTCTGTAGGTCAAATTAAATTCAGTACCAAAGCGTTCCTAAGTTAAAGGAATATTTCAACATTTGTATAAAGTTTGCGTTAGCTGACATTAGACACCATAAGCTACTGGCCATGCCAGACCAAGTAAGTAAGGGTGTAGCGGCAAAACCCCTAGTGTGTTGATTTGAAGTTTTCATTTGTGTTATTTCCACTCTCAAAAGTGATAAGTATGACACGTTTGATGTATTGTACCACATCTTTTGTTGAATACTACATCAGTGGTAATGGTCCACCGACTCATCACATGGGTAAAGACAAAGTCTGATCTAATATAAAAGAAAAAATCCACATACTTAAAGCCACTATAAGAATCTTTATATCTGGGATTCTGGCGCCCCCTAGTGGCAGTATCAAAAAGGAGACAGTGGCAGACAGCAGTGAGCTAAAAGCACAATCTTCACAAGTGCTGTGTTGTAAATCAACACTTATTCCATGAGACGTTTTTAGAAAATGCTTTGTAATCAGTTTTTAATTACACATAGCAGTTTTGATGTGTTAAAATATGCTTTTTAGTAGATGAGAGATTAGTGCAAGTCTGAAAAAGGGGCTTGCTCATGCTATAAAAAAGGCACAATCCTATTCCATCACTCTGTGAACTTTATCTTCGAGTATTTTACTGTCTGATCTCTGTGATACTGAGCAGAACCTAAATGGTCTGTTGTTGACGCCCAGGAATGTGTCCGGGAAGCCCTTTTTTTTTTGTTTCTGTGACTTCAGATAAAAACATGTGGCATCCAACTACTTGGCTTCTGCGTTGGAAAGTGATTGTCACGTCAACGTCCAGCGTGACCACGGGGCGGGAAGACACATTCTGGCGCGGCGTTAAGCCTCACTCTCTACGAGGACACATTGTTCTCTGCACCGCAACAGAGCATGCCTTTTCACTTTTATACTGCACAAGCTACTTTTCCACTGCGATGAGTTTCGACGCCCCAAACCGCAGTGTGATTTACGGTTCTGTGGGTAGAGCTGTACTTCTCAACAAAAGGGTTTTATTTGCAGTCACGCTAACTTGCTGTTGTACTAACTTTTGCTCTGAAGCCTCCCCATATTTCAGCACCATACCCACTGCGTCTACTGTCTGGTGTGGGCTGCACAGCGGGGTTCTGTTAAGCTCCATATCTCACTGGTCCAGAAGAGGCAAGAATCTTTGTCGCTGACAAAAAAATGTAAACAAGGAACAACTACTGAAGCTCACCTCAGTGAAATGCACACCTTGATTCATCTTGATAAGGAAAATTAATTTGTGTTCCATAGTTTAATCTGGGATTAATCACTAAAGTACCCCTTTCATTGTTGTGACTGTCCCATGGCACAATCTTTTCCCATCTATCAATGCTGCATTGTTGCAGGGCAGTGACATCAAAACATAAATGGACAAAGGCCTCTAGTTATCAGTCTGATGTCAAGCTCACAGTCAGCCATTGAATTACAGATTCACCTTCAAAATCTGTGCACATTACTCCAAATCCAAGTCTTCTCTCCTGAACGCTCAACCACCTTTCAAAGAACTATTACATTAAATTAATTCTTAAAACACTTTGATGGGAATCTACTGTTCAATATAAGTAGCACTGGCAAAGCCGCTATACTTTTCAAAGACACTTTTATCCACTTTTTTTTTCTTCAAAGGGCTGACAGAGATCGCTGCCCTCAGACCAGCTGAAGAGAGCGGACCTTCCCAGGTCCCAGATGATGAAAAGAAAAGGTTGCGACTGTGTCAGGGAGGTCATCCCCCTTAAGCTCTGTCGTTACGGGCCCCGATGGGTTCCCTCTTCACATGACCCCTCCAGCCACACTGACCTGCTCAGGCTGAGCCGGGCCCACCCTGCATTTAAAACTGCTTCATACTTCTACTCCGCTACATTTCAGAGGGGCATTTTGTATATTTCTACTATATTTATCGTAGATAGAACTCATTTTTTAAATGAAGATTTTACAAACAAAACACAAGATTGGTTTAAAATACAATTAGTTACAATTAGCCCCAACTTGACCAACTATAATATGACGCTAATGTATCCACAACACGCCTTCTTCTACTAATGTGTATGTAATTTTGAAAGGTAGAAAAGGGAAAACAGATTAAAGGGATTTGGTACTTGTGGTACTTCTGAGAACTCTTTTGAAGAGAAAGCAAGAGTGTCAGTCATCTATGCACTTTTAAAGGGTATTGCATACCTGAGACAAATTATCTGAATATTGTCATTGTTCTTACAAGTCACTATGTTAATATTTCTAGCTTTTTGTACATTTATTCCTTTGTAATTTTATTAGTATAGTAAAAAAAACACAAAAAAAGACCCGCGTGCCATCTTTTTCAAAAGATGTACAGGTGGCAGTGAAAAAAAGCAAAGAAGAGGAACCTGAGTACTTTCAAGTTTACACAGAAGGCATTCAACTAGCATACGCCCTGACGGTGTTCAGGTGCTCCAGCATCAATGCATTTCAAAGACAACTTTAAAAGTTCTCCTCATCAGCCAGACAGTGAGATCAAACGGCTGGTCATGCTGCTTTTTTTTAAATGACTGCCATATGTGCTGCGGGAGAGACCCTCGTTAAGAAAAACAGGCTTGGTGACTCACCAAGAGGCAGCCTGTGTGTCTTCACATTCACACAACAAACACATTCATACACTAAAGGGCCAGATGAGAAAAAAAGCTCACTTAACTCGGGGGAAAGTTGAAGGGAGGTTACGCGCAATCAAAGCCATAAAAATGCAATGGGTGATTTTAGAAATCCATCTGCGGCTCAGTAATTAATCCCACATGCTGTCACTAAAGCAATCAATTAAACCTGCTATGGTTAAACTTCTTTTCTTTTTACAGAAAGCATCCATGCTGCTGTCATACCTGGTAGCACTTTCCAATCCTGAACCAGGCTTCTAGTAAGCGTCTGCATGGCATCATCCCACGACTGTACCACCTCCTCAGGGTCTGATGCGCCAGGCTCCAGACGAGCTGGCTGCCCGATGCCACCAGGTCCTCCATCCCTCGTATGATGCGCACGGCCATGGTTGGCCAACCCTTTTGCTACTCTCCTGACGGCGACTCACAGCTCGGGAACCCAGAGAGAGGATGATCCGCAGACCACTTTGTTTTGCTTTCGGATGCAACAAGCTGAAAGGAGCAGCTAGACTCCAGCGTGCGCACACACAGTCCACTATGTCTCACCAGCTGATGTGATGTCAGTGAGAGTCGGCGCTCCGGAGAGGCTGGAGCGCAGCAGCGTGCCTCAGGCTTGCTCCTGGGCCCCGGTCCAAAACACTGCCTCATAGTGAGGGGAGTGCAGCAGGGGAGGGCAGGACAGAACCACAAGGCCCCTGCTGCAGAGGCTCCGTCTCCCCCATAAACACAACAAACACAACAAACTTCGGCCGGCCGCTCAACCTCTAAAGTCAAAAACACTTTCCTCCGTTGCTCACTAAATTTTGCTCAGCTAAGGCAAATCACTTCATCTTTTACTTTGTTGTTTAATTTCAGCACGATTTTCAAATTCATTGTCTGCAAACGTGTGTGTGGGAACGGTCTGTCACTTTGTCTGGGATGTGAGAGCAATTTCCTGAGGAGGCCAGACATCTCCACCCATCATATTCTGCAGCAACACTCAAAATAATTAGTCCTGTTTGGACGGCAGAACTGACGGTGATAAAAACTAAAAGTGAAACTGCAGGGGGCAGAAACGTTAAAGAGAGGCATTGATGTAAGAACATGGAGGCTTGAGACTCGCGACCAGACGTCTTCCTTTGCACAGCTGCGATCAATCAGCAAACGTGGCACACGGACCGAACACCTGACTCAGATAAACAAGTCAGAGAATACTGAGAAAAGCGAGGATGGAACAGCTCTCAGCGGAAACAATATCCTGCTGTTTGATTATTGAGTGTCCTCAGTCCCAATGGGGCTGTTTCATTGAATTGTCTCAGCGGATGTAGACTTGAGGTTAGACGAGCAGGCTTCTTGTTGTTTTTGGCTCAATAATTCCCAAAAACATGGCAAGGACAGTAAATGAGTGATGCTTTCTGGCTCGTCAACCATATTAAGGACCAGTGGAGCTGCTCAGACAGTGACAAACTGTTCCAGTCAGTTCCAGAACTCTCCGTATGTGCTCAGTCACCCAACGCTATACACAAACAAATAATAAACAAAAGCAATAGTGCCCGTCAGGCATCTAATTGCTTCTGTGCATGCAGTAATGCATGTGAGCGTATAAATCTGGGAATGAGCACATCAATTACCACGCTGATGCAGGCTGTGAACTGGCTATACTGAGCAGTGGCAGCTGGGACATCGGGTCTTTAAAAAAAGGTATTATGAGCAGTTGTCATATTCATCCGGGCACAAGCGGATCGTTCGTTCAGCCAAAGGCTGAAGTTAATTGTCATGTTTTATTCACCTTGCTCTCAAACTCTAAACAATTGTTGGAGTTTACCCACATCCTCTCTAACGCCACCCAACTAAACTCTGCACTACAGCTCATAAACTCTATCTTTACCCGACGCCATGTTTATCTCAAGTGACCGATCAGTACTGTGCATGTGTAACTCTCAACAGAAATGAGAAGGAAGGGAGAAGCCTCAAGTTTCAAGTTTAGCTTATTTATAGAGCACATTTAAAAACAATGGAAAACTACAATACAGCATACAAGAAGGCTCACTCCTTAGATATTTCCACCATCAGCTCTGAAAAACACAATGTCTGTAATTCTTCTTCTTCTCGCAACTCAATTGCCAGATTCCTTCAAATCTTTGGAAAATAAATCCCAAGCTGTCTGTTGTTGGCAGTGAATCTCCTGACATACTCTTTATCTTAAATACAATAGACATTGAAAGCGTATTAATATATACTGGCGGCCGTTATAAGAAAAATAATGTAGAGTTAAACCAGAAATGATACTGACACAGCAAATGTGCTGTTAGAAGTTCATTCCTTTGGAGTGTAGAAAATGTCCTAACAGGATTAAATACTGTATATGCTGTAATCCACCACTGCAAGAAGTGGATGGATCTATTTCTGGAAAACAGGATTCATCACCAGAGACCCGATTTGAAGGTATATAGATAGAGCGCAACCAGCAAACCATGATAAATATGGACAGATGTGTGAGGCCGCAGCCGCCTGGAGCAACAGTGGCCAAGACAGCCAAACATATGGTGGACACAAGCCGCTGATCGTACACATGATCGCCACGTGTTCTGGTCCACACAATGTTCATAAACACAGGGTTTCTGGTGCATCTGGCAGCACAGTATTTCTGAGTTGAGCTTGCATGCAATCGTAAAAAAAAAAAAAAAAAATTTAAATAGCTGCCAACATTCCACTTGTATGATTTATTAATTACATTTATAAATAAGCAATTAACATTCAAATGAAAAGCAAGATTTTTAAAAAAATCTGTGAAATGACTTGAATATAATCTATGCAGTGTAAGGAAACAAACAAAACATTGGTTATATTTCAATGTAAGGGCATGCAGCCACGCACATTTCAAGTGAACTGACACACAGGCACATATGCCAAATGCCTGCAGGCGGCAGATAATCCCAGTTGATTTCAACGCTCCATACTGGGGGGGTTCGGTGGGGTGAAGATGTAGGAAGAGGCAACGACCTCGACTAGAATCAATCTGTGGGAGTCTACACTCAGAGAGGGCGTCCCATGGGAAAGTGGGAATTAATTGTCTGCTCTAACTCTGAGAGACGCACAATAAGCGCTGTATGATCCTCAAGTTGCCTGTTTACAAGTGTCCATGTCTCAGTGCTCTCTTTAGCATCTTTTACTTATAACTTGTGGTCTGGGTGAAAATCCTGTGTTTGTTTGACCCATCTATCCGCCCGGACCTCCTCCCTATGTGAACATTGTGCTACGTCACCTGACATCCAGCTTTTTGGGGGGGCTGAAGTGCTCTTCTTATGAATATCTTTACACAGGCAGCGTTCATTGTAACTCAGTATACATGGCTGCTGTCTCCGTCGTCTCTTTGTCTCCAGCCTGGTACCACGGCTGTAAACACCATGACCTCACACCGCAGTCCCTCACCCCCTCTGATGTCACTCCATTTCTCATGTGCTGCACACAAGACCGTGCTCACTTAAAGGCTCATTCTTTTCCAGCTGTTGTTATACTTTCCCCCTTTGGCTGAGCTCAACCAATTGTTGTGGGAGTGCGGTGGTGGCTGACATACTTATTGCTCACGCTGCAGTGCCCCTTTACAGCCAGCAGATGGGGAAATCAGGTGTCTCACACGCGACCCTCTGGGACTAAAAAGGGGGAAATACATTTAGTGCTGGAAATTGTTTGGTAAATTATGCTGCCTGGAGGGGTTTCCTATTATCTTTATGCCAATGTCATGCCCTTTCTCCCTAACAGAAGGGCCTCATTCTACTTGTGATGCCTGGATTGAAAGTTTTAATGGGAATACAGACAGACAGGCTGTTACAATTTAGCCCACTGCTTTGTTCAGTCCCAGAAGTTCGGTATTATTAGGCCTGAATCTGTTGAGAATACAAGGCAGGGCATGACAGGGGCAGCCACGCTGCCAAGATCATCACACTTCCCCCGTCCCTGGGCTCACTTCAACATGGGACGGCAATTACCATGTACAGTAAGCGGTAGATTAATTGTCTAAAAGGGGAAGGCCTCCGAGTGATCATAGCAGAGCCCGAGCGGAGCAGGGAGAACAGCTGTCACCCACACGGCCCTGCAGCTGACGAGCTACACCACATACTGAGGCTGCAGCTGACACGCTGAATGGAAGCTGTTCTGTGCAGTGTGCCCGGCACGCTCCCTAACACACACACACACACACACACACACACACACACACACACAGGACTGTGGTAAGTCATGCTTACCACGCTTGTCATGCTTCCTGACTGTCACTCGTGGTTAGAAATGGAGCAGGTGGACACAGCTGTCAGAAATCACGAAACTGTGAGGGCGATTTGTCATACATCATAGATGAATAGATTACGTTCCTAAAACATGAAAGAGGGCCATCTCTGCTCATGTATAGATTATGTCCCACATTTTATTTTATGTAATGAGCTTTGCTACTGCAAGCCTGATGTGTGACAAGCCAGAAAATAAAATACCATGGCTTCTGTCTGCTTTTGCCGTCGCTAATTCTCTCCTAGACACATGCTTTGACGGCATTAAATCAACACAAAAGGAACTACAATTATTTTTTACAATATGTCTACCCTGAGGTTGTCGGATTTTTTGACAACCGTGCCAGTGAGTGAATGGTTGCCATTATACATCTTGACAGAAATTTTCCCTGCATCTGTTAATAAAAAAGCAAAAAAAAAAAAAACACAAGACATCTTAATTACAGCCAATTAACACCATGTGATAGAACTCCATTTGGCAAATGAATGGCGAGACAGAAAAGCTTTTTGTGTGTTTCGGCGATACAGTCAAGCCCAGCTTTGTGTGGCCAGGCGGGGGGTAGAAAAAGAAAAGAGGGCAGGGAAAGAGGCGAGGGCCCGGCTGTCATGCACCCATATAGGCTCGTCAGTTGCATCTGGGGATTTGTGGTCAGCTCCTCTTGCTGTAAGGGACGGCACTCAGGGGCTCGCTGCAGGCCACAGGCCATGACAAACCATGTGTGCGTGTATAAACCAGATGCTATGGAGAGGAGGAGGTCAGAGCCGGGAGCATGCGGGGGGGGGGGGCAGAGGCCACAGTAGCAGCCTCACACTGTCTGCCGCAACAAAATGTTGCCCCGAGGGACAGCGGGTGCTCAGATTTCTCCAGACATTTCTCAGAAGGAGCACAAAGAGCCTGTGTCATTCGTTTTCAATATCATAGCCAAGTGATGGAAAATATGAATGGCCACTGTGGGCATCTCCACGGGCGTGCGAATGAAACAAAGAGAAAGCGAGGGAGATGAAGCAGAGGAGGGGGAGGGGAGGAGACACCACCAGTGAGGGGCTTTAATGAGCCTTGAGGCGGCGGAGGGGGTGAAATTATTGCAGGGAGAGAAAAAATAAAGAAGGATTTAAAATAGTTTGGAGTATTAAACTGATATTGTCTCTGAAAGAATAAATACAAAGATGGCTTAAGATTGAGGAGATATTAAAAAAGCATTCCCATGTTTATTAATAATATAATTTTATACGTATATGATGTGTCATGTGACAAACCATCATAGTTTACTTATAGTTCACTGTGAATAACAGCATAAAGCTGTTTTCATTCAGAGCTATGCTGGGAATTAGTAAATGCAGAATATTTACAACCCTTGAAAAAACAGAAGTGATTTAACTTTAATTTCTATCATGATTGTAAATGATGCCTCAGGTAGACTGTATGGGGATCCAGGAAAAGACCTCAGTTTATATCAAGCTTCCTAATATATACCAGTTTAAGGAGCACACAGCGAAAACTGAACCTCAACTTTTAGCTAAACGAGTGTAAAGCCATGCCAGCTGCTCTGGGAGGCGGTTAGACCACTAAGGCACAGTGGCACTTTGAGCTATATGCTAACATTCTCATGTTTAGCTGACGTTTAGCAGGTATATTGTTTACGATGTTCACCATTTTGGTTTGGCGTGTTAGTATGTTAACATTTGCTACCTAGCGCTAAACACAAAGAACAAATAAGGCTGGTGGCGGTGCCATTAGTTTTGCAGATATTTGTTCGTGAACCGAAGGCTCACCGACCTGATGAAGAGTCCGATTTTATTTCTATTTGTCCAATAGTTGCCATCCCTATAGAGCCGCACTGCTAGCGTGGCTAAAAACACAAGGTACTCCCTGTTTTGCTTCACTATAAAGGTATAAAATCCTATTTGTGGCTGTTCACTGTGATTGGTAACATGTTGGCTCTTTGTAATCTGGTTTTAGAACTGAGGAAATTGGTTTCATCTGATACCAGAAATCGAGCCCTTAACACATGTTAAGTGGCCGCAAGGGCTATAGCCCCCTTCAATTAAACCAATATATTTACATGCTGTATAGACACACTGGAGTGTCTAAATCCATTTCGTCGCAGCAATTAGCAGAGTTCTGGCAGTGGATATCTGCATTTAGATGATGTGCAGTAATGAGAGCCCCTGGCTTATCACTCTCAATCCAATTTACTGACTTGATAATCAGATCAGAAACATGACCTTATCTGGCCAGACAACAGAGAATTCACAACTGATCCAAATACTGTATGTTGAAAACTGCACTCCGGTAGCCAATGTGCTGTGTAGACACATTGCAGAACCAGTGTGGCACAAGCAGACATCACTTTCAAACAAAACGTGTGAAAGCCCCTTGTATCCTTGCCGCTTTCATGTCAGTATTATTAAGCCACCAATATGGCAGAAAACCTCTATTTTTGTCCTGCTGTGTATGAACACAAAAGCTCTCGGTGGAATGAAAGCTCTCAAAGATTCCAGCTCTGTCAGAGTGATTTCAGGAGGTGCCATGATTCGAAGGGCGGGTGAGTTCGCTGGGAGTCAAATGGGGATCATAAGTTTGTAGAGAAAGAAGAAAGGGCCTGGAAACAGAGCATCTGTTCCTGCTTTACTGCTGCTAGAACGTCTAATTCACTACTTTTACTGTGACTACACCATCACATATTCTGAGACAGCTGCTACACTGCAGATGGAAAACACGTCTCACTGCTTTTCAATATTCTATTGGTTAGAAAAGACTGTTTTTATGGTAAAGAAGGTAAAGATCCAACAAAAGAGGCTGAAAACAACAGGCTATAGGAGCTTAGAGCTTCACACAAATATCTCCATATTTACAATGGTCTAAATCAGTATGTAATAATATAAATGTCATTCAAAACAAACCCAGAGAATTATCGCCCGACTTAGTGACCGAGTATTCCCCAGCTGCTCTACGGAGCGTTTTAGTATTTTTCAGCTCATTGTTTTGGTTTTAAGGCTCGCAACTTAGTTATTTGGTCTTTTGGTTCTTGTTCACGGCTCTCATCAAGTTATTTTCAGCAGCTGTTTTATGCCCCATCACCAAATGTCACACAGAGTGAAAAGAATTGGACAATTTTATCAGGAGTTGGAGGAGACCAAAACAGAGCTAAAAGGTGAGTGAATGTTGGACAACGCCAAATGAACGCTGATGTTGCGTTGCGTCTGCTGCATGAGTACAACACTGTTTGCTAATCTCACTTCTGAAAGTGAAATATTTCATTGAGTACTGTGTTTTATGTCTAATTACTGGTTCTCTTTCAGTGGCAGCCTTACAGTAGTGAGAGACCGGCTGTATGCAGATCGTTGTTACCCACATGCACTGTGAAAGTATTACCAGGGGATGGCAGTAATTTCATTTTAGC